AACTGCACTGAGTTGCCAAATAGTGGCATTAAATCAGAGATGACAACCAAGGTTCCAAAATGACTATTCTAGGCATTCAAGAATATGCTACTGTAAAATGCATCCATGTATAAAATATACGAGCATCATAAAACCAGAGCTTCTGCACTTCTAGTCCAATTATATGGAATGTTTCAGCATTGCTTTTATTGCAAAAAATTGACAGGCACTGCCTTCAAACGGACTTACCAACAAAGATTACTTTCAAATGTTGAGTGTTTGAAGTCTGAGAAAAAATATATGTAGCATTCTGCAGGGATTAGTTGATTTCCAAGAAGAACACACGTACTCCTACAAATTACCGAACAAAACAATTTCTCTATGAAGTTTAGTAATATGAACTAACATGAGAATATATAAAAGGCATTACAGGATTATTCTGCTTCTTCTGGCTCGTTGAAACATGAGTTGAATAATCCAGTAACATAAATACCTTGGTAACAACATTAGTTCACAGAGAATGCAAGAACTTTTAAGTGGATGAAGATATTGACAAATAAAGAGTACAACATCTTAGGCAATGAGAATCAAAAGGAAGGACATAATTAAAGTATACAAACTGGATATATTGTATATAATTTTACATCCATTTCTTTCCTTTTGATATGTTGTACATCAGTACTGATAGGAAAAAATTACAACTACATTTGCAGAATAGATATACAACAGATCATACAATAAGACATCCACCTATTTTGCTTGACAAGTTGTCTAATATTTTGTGTTCTTAAGTCATTATAGAAAATAATACTTTTGAAATGAACTTGACAAAATATTAACTCAACCATTTTCCATGTTAACGTAGAGCTAGACATACCGTCATGCATTTTCTCACTGCAACCAAAATCCCCCCGGATCCTATAATCATTTTGATACTTTCAATTTGAATCATTTCAACCCTTTAGATTATATAGTTTGTTTGGCCTTCCTTTTTAGGTTTTTTTGCACCCTCTTATCCTTATCAATCATTTCAAAAGGTGGAACATTTATATAGAGCCAGCCAGTAAATACCAAACTTTCAAAAGGAGAAAGATGTAGCCAATAAGTTCTAAACAGACATGAGAAAGGCCAAAGGCGGCATTGGTTTACATGTCATCCTTTGATCCAGTAAAGCCTATGACAAAACTAAATATCAAAAATTAAAAATAAAAAAAACAAAATAAAGAAAAATGAGAATAGATTTGTTAGACAAACTTAAGTAGTTATGATTATAAAACGCCAAGTTGGGATAGCTATAAGGGAGTGTGTACAAGTGCATTTGTGCATATGCCAGCTTGTGATATTTCTGTATATGATTTTAGATTATAAATCTAAGTTGTCGTTATTCTATCATCACATCGTTTGTATATGAATAATTAGATGAAATACACTATTTTTTATTGGAGAAAATTATAATTTTGTCTTCTCTTACTCAGGAAATGATCATAATTAAGCATATACTAAGATAGGTTGCATGTAGACTCAACACTTGACTTGCATTCACCTAATGCATTTAACTCTAGGAGCTATGAGTTTAAGAAATTAGATATAAGAGGAGATATGGATAGAAGAGAATGAAAAAGAAGAATCCATGTGGATAAAGACAAGTATGGTGATGCGCTACGAGGCATACCAAATATTGTAATTCAACTCAAGTCTTTAGAAAAGTAATTCAACTCAAGTCTTTAGAATTTGTATTCCAGTGAAAATTTTCCCTCTCATTCTCACTTTTTTGTTAAAACAGAATATAGAAAGATATCTAGAGACTTGAAGAAACCTATAGAGATACAAAGAAACATAAAACCAACATAATCTAATTGACCAATAAAGTTATGATTTTTTTCACTCCATGAACAATGGCGAAGTCAAGAATTTACTTCAATGGGGTAAATCAATAACAATAATATGATAGAAAATTTAGAACCAAAACAATAAAAACAAAAATTGAAGTATTAATTGGCTATCGATCAATACATTAGATATAATATTTCTCATGAGTTTTCATGTTTTGAAAGCGTTGAAAGATAATATTATTATCAATGTTATTAAACATGAATTTCTCAATACATACCAAGCAATCGTTCATCCATCGATTTCCCATTCGGTTGCGTACATATGACTTTTTTGAATTTTGAGTAAATAAAGGAGGTCCTTTTAGAAATTTGTTTGGGTTAGCGAGAGAGGGAGGTGTTAATATTTTAAATTTGGGGTTTTGAAGAAGGGCTTTTGAGGATTTTGTGGGGCTCAATGGGGGCATTCTTACAATTACAAAAATGTCTACCGTATAAATTTAACATAACCAAAACCTTCAGTGGAGACTGTGGGGGCAATTCCTAGAACTAGACCTTATGTGGCTCCGCCATTGTCCATAAGATTTTGGAAGTATTAGAAATTTCTTGTCTTCTAAGAACTATCTTATAATACAAAAAAATTATGTTTCTAACAAAGATGGTTTAATTAAATTCCCAACAATACCTCCCGTAAAGGCGTAAACTTTTGTTTTTTTAATATATAATTCCAAATCTTGAAAGACATCTTTCAAAATTTTGTCCACTTTGATGAAGATATTGGCAATCAAAATTGACTTGCACCTCATTCAATAGTGCCAATCTTTTTGGCCAAATGTGCAAAGATCTTCACATATTTCTATAATGTTTTCATGTGAGATCTACTACATATTTCCTTCACGCCATCGGGCTCCCCCTTGAAAATGTCATACTCATTTAACTTGTGTTCACTCTTTATAAAAGAAAAAAATAAAAATAAAAAAAAAAAAAAAAATCACCTAACTATGTCAATTAAAAAATTTTCAATACCAATTTGCATATTGCAATTTGAAAAATATTTACTGCTTTGTCTTTACTCAAATATAATACTTATTTGGAACAAATTCCATACTGCTAAGTTCATGACAATTAACATGATAAACTACATTATACTCATCGAATTCTCAAATTTTGATGTATGTAGATGTAATTCTTTCATGCAATGAAAGGAGGCTTGACAAAAGAAGAAGAAACTATGCTATACTCATTGATTTTCTTTTTCTATCTTCAAAATGTCTTTCAATTTCTGTCATCTTTTTCTTTTTTGTTTTTCATCTTTTACCACTTTTTTTGGCTTTTTTACCTCTCAATTTGTCTTTATTCTGTCTCTTCAAATTCTTTAGCTTCATCATAATGGTAATATTCTTCATTAAACTCCATTTAGTTGTTTTCAAGACCTTTGTAATCATCCTTAATTTATAAACTTTTTTGTAGCCAATATTCTGAAGCTCTATTACCTCCACACCAGCATATGTGATAATCTCGAGCATCTTCCAAGCATGACTCGGAAATTTGAACTTTAACATGATTCCAAGTTTAATTCTTGGTGATTGCCTTCTACAAAACTACAGATATGCTTTTCTTCTCTCTCGATCTTGCAAAAATACAAAAGTTTTTTCTTCTTCACTAACTCTTTTGGTCTATCACTCTTTAGCTTCTCTTCAACAACATACCGCAAATGGCATGGTTTGAGATAGAAAGCAATGACAATCTCATTTTCTTATAACTAGGAAACTTCAAATTTTCACCAACTAAATATATCTTCAAATCTGATATGCTAAGCCCTCAAAGATTGCCATGTAACTAAATATATCTTTAGAATTTTCATGTAATGAATGTTTCCCCCAAGCCAGGAGTTCCCTAAAGTTTCCAAATAAAAAAATTATCTAGCTAAGATGAATGGAGAACAAATATTCAACATCTGGTATGATTAATTTCTGATGCACATTATGAGGATTAAACATATGTATATAAATATATGTTTTATTCTCGTTAATCTGCTATTGAACATTCAGGTTTTCGTCTCCAAGATTGTCTATTGAGTCCCTTTTCCTTGATTAGACATAACGGGAATTTCGTATTAGTCCTTACCAATTAGCTTCCATAAAACCCCAATTTGTCCACAGATTCTCTCTTTCTAGAAAATTTCATCTCAGAGGTAAAGCTTGTCCTTAATTGTTTTAGCCAGTTTAAATCTACTTACATCAATAGTTTTTATGCAAGACATATTCAAAAAATAAATATACAAGTCCCTATCACGGCACATTCATGATTGTATAAGATTTTTAACTTCCATTGGGAAATGACAAATTTATAACCCTAAATAGTTACTGTAGTATTTGTAAGGATCAGCTAGTAGTATTTTTCAAGTAAAAAAGGACGCGTGTGATTGAAAACCATTAATGCAAGTCTTTTCCATGTGAGACTACTGTAGCAATTAACTTATTAGGTAAGAAAAACTTGTCAATCTTCTATGTCATTTCCCAGGGACTATATTTGGACACCTACTAAGAAATAAATAAATAAATTATAAATGTATAGCATAAATTAGTATATATATACACCATTATCATTGCACATTATTTGCTACAGTAGTCCATCTACACTAGGTGCATCAAACAAGAAAAGATCACAGAAGGTAAAGATTTTTTCCTCTTTTTCATGCAAATCACATCTATGCATACCATACAAGTTAAAAAGAAAATAGACATGCTATTACAATATGTATATACATACACACGCACACACACATATATATATATATGTGTGTGTAGAGAGAGAGAGAGAGTGTGTGTGAGTGTTTGCTTCACTTTTTGAACATGAATGTTCGTGCATGGCTCATGGCTCGATTGTCCACATGCCGAAAGAGAGAAAGAGAGATTCTGCATTGTAGATTGTCCAACCAAAGAAGCAACCTTTGAGTCCTCAATTCAAACAAACACGTTTGCGGGTAAGCAGGAAAAAAGCAACTTCCATGTTCAAAACCAAACAGAAAGAGCAAAGAAATTCAACCCACAAAATAAATAAATATATATATATATGTATGTACTATGTATATACTATAATATAAACACATTCACATAAAACAAACAAATTATAACAAGAGAATAAAAACCATAAATTTCAAAGAGAATAAGAGTAATAATTTAGCTTTGAATTGAAATATGAACTAAAAACCAAACATCATATATTCATTTTTCCTCCTCTTAATTTGTTCTCATTTCTCTTTCTGTAGTATATGGTTCAATGGGTATCAAATATACCAGAAATTAACATAAACATTGATCATATCATATGCTCTAGAGAGAGAATGTGGCGGTGTTTTAAGATCTTGGGTGTGGGAAGAACTGCGTACCAGTCATGAAATTGTTGAGTTGAGCAGCTGGGTAGAGAGAAGGGTCAAGAAAAGCCATGGCGGACGAACCCACCGCGGCACTGACGCTGGCGGTGGAGGCGGTGGAAGTAGTACTGAGATTATGCTGTTGAACCCCTCCGCTGCCATCGCCGCCGCCACCGGAGGAGCTCTCCCCGGCCATGTAATGAGTCTCAGGGCCATGATCATAGAGAATCCCCTTGAACATGTGTCCACCAATGTTCACAGCAGTCTGATATGCATATTGATCATCAGTGTCATCAATGGAGCTCACTCGAACGCAACGAAAATTCGCTGACAAATTCACCTCTGCTGGAAAATTTCCCACTTCCAACCCTAAATTATGATTACAACACCATTACATCATGTATTGAAAGTTTGAAACTATAGAAGTAGAGATACCATATGAGAAGTACATGTTTTAACACGCATATATATCAACACAGACATCAGAAAAAATTGAAAAATAATCTCTTTTGTGTTGCCATATAAGAGTACTAGAAAGATTAAAAATTGATGGGTCATTCTATGGAGCTCGATTTCATCATACCGAATTGATATTTCCATTTTATTTTGTGGGTAATACTACTCATACTATTTTTCATTTCATAATAAGTGTGTATGGATTTTTTTTATTTTTTTTATTTTTTTATTTTTTATAAAATAAACTTGGATTTTGTCTGTGGGGGAATAAAAATGTGTATACCTGAGGTGTTGGTGGGTAAACGACTGCGGATGAGAGAGGAAGTTGGTGGATTCTCTCTGTGTCTTTTGGGAATATTGTTGTCTCTGAATTGTTGCTGCAATTGCAATTGCTTGACTTCTTCTTGCTGTAGTCTTTGTTGGTGTTGCAACACAGCAAACTGTTGTTGTCTCTCACGTCTCTTGGCGGCAGGAACCCAAGTACTTTTGACATGGGTTTGGCACTCAAACCCTCTGCTCTTGCAGCAAGCCCTACACCTCATGTGTGCACAGTCTTTCTTGGCTTGATTCCCGCAGTCTTGGCAGCTAATCCCTCCGCCTCCTGCTCCGGTGCCACCACTTCTCATGGATTCATTTGAGAAGTTGATTACACCGGGCCTGCTGGGTCCATCGCCGGCTACACCTCCACCACCCGATGCATAAAGATCCTGCAATTGACTGTGCCTTTGCTGCTGCTGGTGGACGTGATGCTGCCATAGCTCGAAACCCTTGTAAGATGTGGCGTCCGGTTCGTTTGATCTGAACAAGAACCAGCTCTCGGGGGTGATTTGGTTGGGTTGGTTTGTGGGGCTAATGTTGTTGGTGGTGGTGGTGGTTGTGTCTTGTTCTTTGCCGCCGCCTCCACTTAGTGAGAAAAACCCAGCCATTCTTCGACCTCAAAACCAGTCCCGAGCCTCAATTGTGAGTGATTATCCATAGCCAGAAACACAAACAGCCTAAAAGATTGGATTAAAAAACCCCCCCAAAAGAAATGAAATGGGTGTTCTTCAATTTGTCTGAGCTTCTGTGGGTTTCAGTTGGTTTTTGCTTTTTGGGATGTGGGTAAGATGTACAAAAAATGGGCCAGGGTTGTGTTTGTTTTTTCTTGAATTCTTGAAATCTCTTTAATTTTTTTAATTTCTAGTGACCAATTGTTGTTGTTGAAAGGGTGGTGGTGGTGGGAGTGGTAGGGCAATTGCTGTTTTTTCTGGGACAAACACGTCGGAGGGAGACTTTTTGGGGACAGACGATACAGACTACTACAGAGTTAAATGGAGCCTTCAATTCTTTGGCTGAGTGAGTAGTACTAACACATTAAAGACACAGAATTGCAGCTGCTCTGCCACGCCGCCATGGCTGAAAAGCTAGTGGACTAGTGTTGTCTCTCTCTCTCTCTCTCTCTTTATCTCTCTCTATATATGTCTAATGACTTTCTCTCTCATCAGTGATCTCTGCTGCCCTCTGCAAACCACCAATTTAAGTCTCTGGGGGTAGGAACCCAACAGGTCATCTCATCTCTTCTTCCATTCTCTGCTGCTGCTCTCTTTCACACAGTGGATCTGCGATTGTTGCAGAGAGAAAAAGGCAGTAAAAACTGAACTTTGTTGGTTCTCTTACTCTAGCTTGTTTGTGCAGAAGGAGATTAAAATACTTCTCCCCTCTTCATGATTCCATCTCAAAGGGGAAATGTGATAAAGTAGTTAGTGATCACCCTTGCATCCAACGGTTCCTTTCCTGCCGCGTGACACCAAAAATATATTTTTATATAATACAGTATGTGTGTGTGTATATATATATATATATATATATTTGTAATTTCACAAAAAAAAAAAAAAAAAAAAAAAAAAAAAAAAAAAACACAATTACCTTGCGGTGAAAAATTAGTCAAGAACTTCAATGTTCCAAGTCTATTCAAATTAGAGGGCAAATCAATTTTCTTTAATTAATACTGCCTTCTTTTAGAAAACGTGTCTTTTTTTTTATTTTAAATTGAAGAGTTATGGTTTTTCAAAAGAGACATTCTTTTTTGAACAGATAAAGTAAAATCTTAAAAGGGATCATGTAAGTAACGAGACCAATAATCACGTCATATTTACTATGTGAATTAAAAAATAAAAATAGTCACTCACTATCTATGGAAAGTGTTAGGGTTCAGTTTTATTTAGAAAAAAATATATATATTTATTTTTAAAAAGAAACAAATAAAAAAAACTATTTGGTTGCAATTTTCTTATAATTATTTTCTCAAAAATTAATCATAATGATTTGAAGTCCGTATAATCTATGATAATGGAGACTACTATCATCATGATGTCATGATGATGTTGACATTACAACGACATCAGTCTTCATTTATGAAAGTATAAAATTAATCAAATTCATTAAACTATCGAATTTCATATTATTATTTAATTTTTAAAAAAAAATTCTATTGAACAAATATCTTATAATATTTTTTTAAAACTTAATTATGTTTTATAAGTTCATGAAAATAGTTTTAAAAAAATTAAAGTTCTTTTTTTCTTTGTTGCTCTTTCCTTGTGATGAGTGTTGAAGATTGGATTGAGACAATATCAATCTACTTTCCCAATTCAATGGATATGAAATTTTTTTTTTTTTTCATTTTTAGTTTTTACTTTGTGGTAGATAAGCCATGGTTTTGTTCAATCTAGGATTAAACTTTCAATGTTCTATGCGAAGAGATAGTTGTTTTATGACCATATACCACATTTATAAATGCCATACTATAAAATATCATTTGCTAGAAAGCATGATACTTTTTCTAGGATGTCATGTTAATCTAAATATTTTTCTTAACTAGACACGATACGGATGCTTTCAAAATACGACAAAGTAATTTTGTAATTTTTATTTTATTTTATTTTATTTTGTGTCTTTCATTCCTTCTTGTAAGAAAATAAATATATAAAATTGAGACATTTCATATTTTTTCCATTGTACATCTCCCTTTCTTTCAAATTTTTTAGTCTTTTTATTTGAGAATAAAGAGAGTAAAAAAACGTAAAATTTCATCCACTATGGTCTGACTAGGGACATCTATATCCACATAGGTCGTTCTATAGAGCCAAGTACTTTTAGCTTCCCTTGAAAAAAAAAATTATGTTTCCTTCATTTACCAATTTCTAATCCTTAGTGTCACATTATTTAGTAAACTATTCAAACTAAGCACTATTGAACAAAATCAACCAATTTCTAATCCGTATAGATCCTTATAGTTCTACACTATTTAGTAAACTATTCAAACCTAAGCACCATTAACTAAAATCGCAACCCATAAATTAATTGGCAGGTGTCTTATTGTTTAAGTTGTTGCATTGCTTCATTTGTCTGAAAGTTCATGTGTTTCTTTCCTTACTTGTTGAATAAATTAGTTTGTATAGTTTGTAAGTGTCGTGTTATTTAAGTGGTTGGATCACTTTTTTTATTTGAGTGCCCGTATGCAAGTCTTATATTCTTCCTTTCCTTATAATCTCACATTATTGATGAGAAAAAGAATAAATGAGTTTAATAATTTTAAATTTGTAATATACAGATAAAAAGTTAGTCAATAATCAAGATTATCATCACCAGCATAGTTTCTCAAATTTAACTAAATTAAAGTTACCTTTATTCTATTAGTATTTATTTATTATTATATTATGAACTTTAATTGTTGCAGTACTTTTAGAGGTTCATAATGAAGGGATTAAGTGACTTTGAGGGGACCATTTTGTTGCTACATAAAGGAGGGGGCATCGATCCGAGTTGACAATTATATGTCGTGAAGGGTAATTTCGTCTTTTCACTCGTTGGCACATTGATACACTGGTACTGGAATTATTTCAATTTTTTACACTGAGAAATAGAATTACAGACTCCGCCGAACTATATTCCCGGCACATATGGCCCAAAATTGGGATCGTAAAAACCGTACTCTAATTTTAATCACACTTGCATCTAAAGCACGTGATTCTAACACCCAAATATAAAAATAAAATAAAAGATTTGTCACTAAACCTACCATTAGTTTTGACAACTATTTTACTTGATAACGATATTTTGTTATTTTATCATTTATCTATGAAGTTAAAATATTTTTCTAATTTTAATCACACTTGCATCTAAAGCACGTGATTCTAACACCCAAATATAAAAATGAAATTAAAGATTTGTCACTAAACCTACCATTAGTTTTGACAACAATTTTACTTGATTTTTTGTTATTTTATCATTTTTTCTATGCAATTAAAAATATCTATCCCATATATTACGGGAACAGAATTGACTTTCTTAGACTCAACATCTAATTTTAGGATTTATTTTAGAATTAATTGCATTGACACTCTCCAAGTTTGGATTAAAAAAGTTATATACAACTTAATCACTTTTTGGACAATGACATCCACCTTACAGGATTGGATTAAAGATAATCATATATAACTTAATTACTTTTTTGAACAATGACACTTCCTCAAATTTGATTAAATGAACAAAGACACTCCGTCATAATAAAAGTACGTATTTGACCTTTGATCTAAATTGATCTATATGAATCATTAAATTACTTTTATAATATCCTACTAATTGACCAAAATGGCCCTCACGAATGAAAAAACAAATATGACTTTATTGTGACATGTTTTTTTTTTTTTTCTTTATTTTTGTGGAAGAAAAATGTGACATGTTGTGTAAATAATATTTCAGTAAATACTAAGAAATAAAAAGATTAGTTTGTATGTGATTACTTAAAAATGATATTTAATATTTGAGTATTAAAAATAGTCTTTTAATATTTAATATATTAATATAGAATAATAAAAAATATATTTAAAATCATATTCTTACTTTTTGATATGAAAAATCGGAGTTCTATATTAGAATTTTATTTAAATATTAGGTAATGTACCTAATTCATCTATTTCATTAAGGGCATTAAACATGCACAAAAAAATTTTTTACAATGGTTTTATATTATTTTAAAATTTTAATTTTATATTACTAGTTTGGTTCTTCAATTAAAAATTCTTAATTCTGCTGTTATCGGTATGCATATGGCGTTGGCCACAGTGGTAGACTTATCTCAACATTAATTTAAAGGGTAAAGTTGAATTTTTTTTTTTTCCTATTCTCTGCTTAGATTTAGTTTGTCCTCAATAGGTGCCCTAAACGATAAGGGGGAATCTATTTCATAAACAATAACATTATGAGAAGTAAGTCAAATTATAAAATCAAGGGAAGATCAATGTAAAATATTGACTAATCTCAGAAAAAGTAAGCAGAATTCACCATAAAATTGAAAAAAACTTCTTATAGTGTCACATGACTACAGAATCCGAATCCCCTTTAAACACACTTTCAATTGAAAATATCACAAATCTCATCAAAGATATAACATTCATGTAAACACTAAGGCCACCTTTTTTACTTTGAAAATACAACAAAAATGTATTATTATTACTATCTTTTAGAAATATCTTTTTTTTTTAGAAAAAATTTATTTTGAAGTGATGTCTCATTGAGTTTGTAATCTGAGCTTGGACAAAATTTGAAGTGAAGTATTTTTTTTTTTTTTTTTTGGATGACGTGGAAACCCATACAATTTCTCATTTTTTAGAATTGTAGCTATCAGATACCCCGACCCTATAGTGTAAGTAATATTTGAAGTCAAGAACTTATAAAATTAAAAGAGAATATTCATGTAAACACTAAGGCCACCTTTTTACTTTGAAAATACAACAAAAATGTATTATTTTTACTATCTTTTAGAAATATCTTTTTTTTTAGAAAAAAAATTATTTTGAAGTGATGTCTCATTGAGTTTGTAATCTGAGCTTGGACAAAATTTGAACTGAAGTATTTTTTTTTTTTTGGGTGACGTAGAGTGTAAGTAGCATTTAAAGACAAAAGCTTATAAAATTAAAGGAAAATCAAACCCACATCCAAATATTAAATATAATTATCTAAGTATCTAAAGGCTCTCCCTTCCACCAACTCTGCCCCAAGTGAAGTGAAGTCTCGTTGGATTTGCTTACTAACACTTTAGGGTGTAGTGAGAGGAAGGTTCTCTGCCACGCGCTTTAAAGGGAGGGGGGGAGTGTTTGTTTGGGATTGAGAGTCTCAATAATTGTGGTACCTGCATCTGGTATTGGTGTATGTCTTGAGCCCTGTGTATGTTCCCGCTTGACTTGACAACCTCGTGCTTTCCACCTTAGCAACAACATACATATCTCTATACGTATACATAGGGAAATAATAATTTATATATACGTACAGAGAGAGAGAGAGAGCGAGAGAGAGTGTAATATGCCACACGAGGATAGACTTTGGACCCTCTTATCTCCAGATCTCTCAATCGCCAATATTTTGTGATGGTTTGATATTTTTATGATCCACACTGTACTCATGACAATTCATCTTCCATCTAATGGTACAAACATCACTAAATTAATGAAAGTGACCAGCCGTTCCTTTTGGGTCCCACTATAAATAGATTGAGAGGCTCAATGAAAAATGCTTTTAAAGCTTACTAAATTAGTCCACGAGCCTACTTGTACGTGGATCATCAATTACTGTACAAAGTTTTTGAATGGGACAAAGTACAAGGGATCTAGTTACATTTCAAAGGATTCAAGAACTGAAGAAT